TTTTGAGCAACTTTAAAACTTGTGCATCAAAAAAATTGTAGAATGGTAGTTTATGAAAAAATTTTACTTGAACTTTGTTCAATTTTGAGCAACATTAAAAATTCATGAAAATCCCAACTTTATCAGAATCAGCTCAAACTTTCTACATATAAGTACATGTACATGCATGTACATGTATAAGCACGTATTTGTACCTGAAAAAAGATGAGAACAGTCTTTCTCAATTTTGACAAAATTTGTAGCCAAATCTATTTTACTTGTTCCACTTTGTTCCACTAGTCTTCTCTGCCACTGGGAGCATGTCAAAATCCACTTCCAACTTTTACAGCCATCTGGCTCAGAAACTGTCTACAAAGTGCAATAAACATCTACCCGTGACACTGGGTCTACTACGTTGTTGTCTAAGTTTCGCCCTATTAAGATCTGCAATAATGTGTATCAGAGGAGTTCGTTCTTCCCAACACAAACCAGTTGTCAGTGCTCCCTTCGACCTCCAACTGGCTGATAGCCACCTCTCTTTCTGTTAACTGTTAATTTCCCTCTTACCTCTGTTCTAATTTTTTTTGTCCTCTTTTTTTTCTCTCTTTTCCTCCCCTCCCTACTCCCCCTTTTTCTCTCTTTCTATTGTAACTTATTGTACATTATTACTGTTGTTGGTGTTATTTCTATTGTTGTTGTTGTTGTCATTGTTTAAAAAAAATTATTACTAAAATTATTGGAATTAAAAATTCACTAAAATTAAGATTTATTATTATTATTATTATTATAATGTAGGATGAACAAAAATTAGTGAAGAGAAATTCAATAAAATAAAATAAGATAGATCAAATAGAATGAGCAGAAATAAAAGTGAAATTGAAGGTAATAATAAATATTATTGTTATTATTATTATGTGAGTGAGAAAGGAATGTTATTATTATTATTATTGTTATTATCATTATTATTATTATTATTATTATAAGAGTGAGAAAGGAATATTATTATTATTATTATTATTGTTATTATTATTATTATTATGAGAGTGAGAAAGGAATATTATTGTTATTCTACCATGCCACCTTGCGATATACCAATCAGATTGCAGTATTGGAGGTCAATTTTCTTCATATTAACCTAGTTTGTAAAAATACATACCTATCCCTTTACATAATTAATTGATTGGCAGTTTGGTACTCTACGTTTAAGCTCTTATTAGTCCATTTGTCAAGTTTGGTCGATTCTTTACTGGCCTAGCCTGTTAGATATGTTGTATGTATGTCAACTGTAGTCTTATTATCAGCAGCGGGTAGTTGTTTTTCAAGTGTAATGGTAGAAATTGGTTATACACCTCTGTATTGGTTTCTATGGTATTTTTTAAACTCACGACTGTGTTGCTCGGTTAATAAATACCTTAGGAACCTCTACTTCAGTGTATAACCTATACTTATTACTATTATTATTATTTTTTTACTATTATTATTATTATTATTATTATTATTATTATTATTATTATTATTGTTATTATTATTACGAGAGTGAGAAAGGATTATTATTATTATTATTATTATTCTACCATGCCACGTTAACTATAATAGTACTTTGGTGACTATAACTATCAAAAACTAGTGGGTTTGTAATAGTACTAACAAACTGAGTGAGTTTCATCAATGGTAGAAAAGCTCTGAAGATCTGTGCAATGGCATGCATGCCACAAATCATTCTTACACACAAACACATTCTAAGCCTAGCTGGATCTATAACTCAATGCATGGTTTAGAAATAATGACTGCACAACAAAGATACATTGTATCATCAGTCATCACATCAAATTGTTTTTCCTTAATTCACAGTTGTCTAGGCTTCAATTTTGCCATTCACTCAATGAAAAATTTATTTATGAATCAAAGTATAGCAATTCGTAACGATAATAACAATTCATGTTTATACAAGGGGGTTTGAGCATTCCACATCAATTGACTTAATATAATGCTCCTTGCTAGCATAGGATATCTCCAGTAAATCCTTTACACCAAGCAAAGAAGACTCTTGAAAGGGAATACTTGATCCAATTTAGGTACTTTTGGATGAAATTTTAATATTTTTTTAATTGATGCCATTTTATAGGAAATTAAAAGTTGTACACCTTGTGCTATTTTTAAATTTTTACCATACACTGTATATAAGTTATAGATCATTGAACTTTAAATATAACAAAAAAAAATTCCTGCATAACTTTTCATACTTTATGAACTTACTTGTTGCAATTACTAAGCAAATTTATTTCCCTTTTTTCATTGTAGATTCAGTTGCAGTTGAAGCTGATATTCTCATTTGCCTTGTGTACAGTGGCATTTATCGGACATGGATTTTAACATATAAACAACTAGCAATTTATCATTTTATTGATTGCATGTCATAACACTACTTTTTTCTATTACCTGATGGAGTTTTGTTATCATTAATAATTCTGTTCATTTTGTAGTGATTTTTAAAGTACCATTTCAAGAAAGTCAAAGCATTAATGTTTAGCAATGAATATTGTTATTGCACTAATGAATATACTCACATTAACCATGAATATCATTAATCTTTTTATGAATATAGTTTAATCTGACGTCATCCTACATGCTAATGCGGAAGTCACATGACTTCTGTGAGTATATTCATGGCTTTTGGCAGTAAAAGGGGTGGGTATGCCATGTCACTGAAATAAAGATGGCCGTCTGTCCTGTTTGATTCTCTGTAAGCTCCTCCTCCTTCAGCTGTACGCGCATAAGGGAAAGCCTCTATCTCGGCATAGATCTCGGCCCCTGGTTCTCTAAAGTACAAGCTAAAGCCACAAATTGAGCAACAATGCTTTATACTGACATGGTACCTATCTTATTGACTTTGATTGTAGATCTAAATGCAAAAGCAGCAGAGATCACTTTTTCCTTAGCAAAGAAGTTTCCAGAACCACTGATAAGTTTTGTGATCAAATGCACACTTTATTCCTTTTTAGAAAGGAGACACCTGTGAGTTAAGCAACAAACCTTTGATATAAGGGACAAAGTCATTGTGGAGAGGTCTGACTTTTGAAGACGGTGGTGATTCACTATTTTACTATTCTGACTTGCAACAATATCTTGTTTCAATTAAATCTTTACTGTCACTAGTTTTGCCAGATTAATCATTAAAATTATAACATTAATACTGTTTTATCTGTATAATCATATTACTTTTAAAAATGGGAATCATAAAAAATTGATCATTAAAAGAAACAACATAAAACAATCAGTAAATAAAAACAAAAAAGTGTAGAGCTGTTAACTTTGTACTAGTATTAGTACTCTCAGCCGAGTTTTTACAGACCTATTAAGGTACACACACATAACTTCAAGTTTAATAAACATTAATCTACATATAGACACTCTAAAAAAGGTAATGTGATGCTTTTAAGGCAAAAATGCTCACAAGGCAAAACTCAACATTTGCAAATGGTGCATGACACATTTTGTTAATAAATAAGCATCCATAAAGTACAAAATGCACTGTTTTATACAAATAATACCAACTGCACTACAAAAAAATGATTACAAAATATCATAATATAGAATTAAAATCTCATAGAATAATGTTCTTAAAAAGCAGTTTTGACACATGGAATATACTGCATTTAAATTTTGTGCAAAATTTTCATAAATATATATTACAATAATTAAATACCTCAGCCTACTTTAGAATTATTACTACTGTACTTGTCATGAATTTACTACAAATTGAGAGAAAAAGAAGGCTCATTTAATGTAGTACATGGTTTAATGTAGTACATGGTAACATGCAAGTACAAAAATAAATGAACAAGGAGTGTAGATATGACAACTAAAAACTTATCAATGCAGCAAAGAATTATAAAGAATTAGGACTTGCGACTAATAAAATTGATTTCTTATAATTGCCATTGCTATGAAACAATCGCCATGAAGGTATTGTAGGTCAAATTTAAAAACTATTTTGCATGTTGTATAGTTCCCATAATGCTATAATGCTAGCTAGCTGAATAGCATTATTCCAGCTCGTTAAGTACTCCTCCAGTAAAAATTGTTTTCACACACACACTTCCCTACCATGTAAGTTCTGTCGTTCATTTCAGGATAACTGATAGTTACATAAAAAAATAAACCATATTTTTAAAAATATAACTTAATACATATTTAGTGTAGTTATCTATCAATATTTATGTTGTAATAAGCTTATAGCAAAATACAAGTAAATACATGAAAGTAAAACTAATGGTGTTAGCGAAAGTACATACAATATGAAAAATTTTAAATACATGGTAGATGAAAGGTAGATACATCATGCAATGTCTGGTTATTAATAACAAAAGTAATGATTGCCAGTAATTGCAATGGTAACTTTATTGCCATCTGTGCTCAGGCAATATCAATGCTATATTATTAATGGTCCTTCATTGAATCTGATGCCTTAATGAATCTAAAATCAAGCGTTTATTTGAGACATAATGACAAAATACATTTTACAGTCAGAGACATGGGCATGTGAAAATTACTTACTCAGCAACCATTAACACAATCTTTTAAAGAATAC